ATTTCCATCGGTGGACCAGATCCCTCAACCAAATGATTAACACGCAAGCGGGTAAATAATCATTAGTTAATTATTTCATGCATAATTGGAGAAACACTCAGATAACCGCCGGGGGCAGGCGGCCATGCGAATTTTGAGCAAGCGCGCACCGGAAAAATAGTTCGTTGATTTTTTGCGGCCTGCTTGCAGAAATTTGGAAGAAAGTTGGCAAAATTAAAGACGAATGATCGCGGTTTCTTTATGGATTAGCTGCGGCGCAGTGGCCGCATTCTCGCGGACTTTCCGCGAGAATATGCAAAAATTTCGAGGGCCGCACGTTCCTTTGTGGAGGACCGCGCAACCCCCAGGTACTTTCCGCTGAGAGAAAGTACCTCAAACTTGAGTAATTAAACCAACGGTGACACCTCTGCCATACAGAGTCTTACCTGCGCTCGACGTACGCCCGAAAATACTTAAAAAGAGTCCGAGCGCTTGCTGAAACTTTGGCCAGCGCTCGCTGGAAGATATTATTTGACGATCGCTCGCAGAAAATTCCGTATTGCTGCCCGCTGGAAGTACCGCCCGCTGAAGGTTTGGCCACGCCCCAAAATTCTGCTGACCGCCTGCAGAAAAGCGCGAGTTTGCGGACCGCCTGCCCCCGGCGATTATCTGAGCAGATGTTGTTCTGGTGAGCCACTTTCTTGGACAAAAGCTCAATTGCTCTAGTTCCTTTTTCTGGCGTTGCAATATGCGCCATAGCAAAGGCGAGCAAATGTTGTAGATGAATTCCGCCTGGAAACCAGGAAACTTTATCCTTCCTTATTTGGGAGCAATCGACATACACAAGCTCCGATAACGTTATCATTGCAATCAATAGTAAAATAACGTCTGAAGGAACGAGTAACAAATAACGTCGAACAGAAAAGTAGCAATCACAAGTAATATCAGGACCGGATATATGGCATTATGAAAATAATTTGTGGCATCAGCAAAACAACCAAGTTTTCCTTAAACTGATAAAGTCCACGAATGCCAAAGTCGTTGTTGAAACGGTTATCACGAAGATTTATTGTTGTTCCATTTGGAAATGGAATAGAATTGAGGCAAAATTCTTACCTTTTTATGGAATTCACGCAATACACACAACAAAATGATACAATAATGGCAGCTTTCAAAAGTAACACCATATACCTGCCCATTAATACTATAAATGTTTCTCACTTGTGTCCTTAAGACAAGGGTCGCGCTCATAGCGAAAGTGCTTATACTCACACCGGCAACTACATTTATGATTTTGGAATGTGAAAATTCTCGGCGATGTGAGCGAACTCGGCGACTTTGCGTTTTTCGCCGAAAATTTTCACATTCCCCTGTCATAACTGTATGGCATTGTCATAACTGTAGAAAAGCTTACAGATTACTTCAGCATAAAAATTTGGATGAAAAAATTTACACAGGGTTTGTAGCGGTCATCTGCTAGCAGCAGAGAGAAAATTATTGTTCTACCAATTTTTTAGTCTCGCCGGTGCGAGCGATGCTTATTTCAAACTGCATATGGGAGGCTACAAAAAATATGGCGTATTCAGATGCGAGGGAAGGGTCCAACGTGACTTATGGAGGAATTAAGGGGCAACTTTGGAGGAGGCAATTTTGCGGCCTGAGCATGCATGTTGGAAGGCTAATAACTTTGCGGATATTAGCTGAAGTTTGTTTTATTGGACAGATCTCTGAAAATATGATTTTTAGAGAGAAGGACGTAGGAGAACAAACTTCCAATAAAAGTGCCTAATTGACAGCCGAACTTGCGAAATCGGTCGATGAGGGCGAGTTTGCGCCCTTATATCCCTGCAAGTTAGGGTTGGGGTAATCTGCGGTTAGTGACATGTACTTTTGGTAGCTCTTTTCTCTAAGGGTAGCTCGTGCCCATAGCTCCATCGTGGGAGGCGCTATAAAGGAGATGATGCATATTTTGAATTTTATCTCCGTGGAGAATAGGGATGACGGGCTGGGATAGCCATGTTTCAGTTTGTATTCGAGAGGGACACCACATATAATTCGGAGAAAATCCAGGGGCTTCGTCTGTTGGCAGCCCATCTATAAGAGTTGGAGTTTTTTTTTCAATTTCTGGCCACGCTATTTTTCCTCTTTCTCCTCCCTTATTTTCCCTTCTCCTTATTACTGCAACGCGTGTGATAGTTACCCGGCGGCCATCTGGACCTGGTTAGGGGCTGAAAACGGCTAGAAAGGGGGTAAATCGGGTCAGAAAAACGCAATTTTTGCTTAATTTCTTCTTTTTCCTTATTTTCCTTGATTTTGATCGTAGTGCGAAGTAGGAAGTGGGCGAAGCTTGTTTGGAGGAGTCGTAGCTGTATAAGAGAGCTGAAAATGAGCTTCAAACTTTTTCGACTTTTTCGCTCATTTTTCCGCCCATTTGGTTCGCTTGGAGTGCACGTGGGCGGTGTCGAGAGAGGAAGGGCGGAGCTTCACTCGAAGGTGTTCTGAGTGAAGCGGACGGGGCTTTATTGGTGGATTAGCGATTTTGCAGTAGGTGACAGGGAGATAGTAATGCTAACAATAGAAAACTGTGGTTGTTGAGGGAAGCATGGGCGGAGCTTGCAGTTGAGGGGGCGGAGTCTTGGAAGGCGGGTGGAGCCTTGGGGTTCAAAATTGAGGGGTGTGAATCTCAAAAATTGGCAATCGAAATCGAAATTTTTGAGGTTGCGAAATCTTCAAATTCTCCAAATCTTTGATTTTATCGATTTTAGAGGCTTCGCAACCTCCAGAATGTCGATTTCATCAATTTTGGAGGTTTCGCATTTTCAGAACATCGGTTTTTATCGATTTTTGAGGTTTCGCAACCTCCATAATATCGATTTTATCGATTTTTAGCCGTGAACTGTAAGCCCCGCCTACTTGAGTTGTCACTATACCCAATATATGGGTGAAAAGTCATTTAGTTATGATCTGAGGTCTTCAATTATGTTCTGCAAACAGGATTTTGTTAGGGCTCAACCCAGCTTAATGTAGATAGAGAGCTAAGATAAACATCTTTCGATAGAACAGCTTCGCGTCTTAGCAGCTAAACATGGTGCAAAGTATCTTTTGAAGAAGGCGAAAATGGCTGGCAAACTTTGTTAGAATCAAAATTTACCTAAAACTTAGCCATTGTTAAGCCTAAAGAATGAAGCTATCATAGGGAGCAGATGTGTTTTTTGTAATTAGCAGGTCGGGTAACCTCTATGCTCAATTTTTCTAGGAAAATGGCGCCATTTGATTTTTCTCGATTTTCGCTCTTGACCTCGCCACTGGTTTTGGCTGAAATATTGGTGATCCTGAACTGACCCGAAACTCCACTCGCAGTAGTTTTCAAACCTACTGTTAACGAAAATTCTAGTTATTTCGCGCGGGTTTTACAACGAAGTTTCAAATAGAAAAAATTTAGTTAGACTATGCGAAGTTGTAAATTCATTTGCACTTCTCGCCCGTCTATCAAAAAACTTGCTTGGGTTTTTTGTAAATTAGAAGCTCCGTAAAAATCGCTATCGGGTCATGATTAGCACACGCCCCTATGTGCACTGTTCGTCGATTATGAGGTTACAAACTCACGTTTTCATAAATTTTCTCCCAAACTTGAGTTTGGCGGATTCTCATCCTTATAATGTGCAACCAGCAACAATGTAAGAAATGCTATCAGCACATTGAGTGATCCATTTGAGCGATAATTTGTAAATTTGCATCATACATGCAGTCAAACAGTTATGACTTTGGAATGTGAAAATTCTCGGCGATGTCGGCGAACTCGGCGCTTTGCGTTTCTCGACGACTTTGTCGAATTCGCCGACATCGTCGAATTTGTCGAGAATTTTCACATTAGCCAGAAATAACTGTACAGTACGTTCCCGCTATCGTTCTTAGTGTACACTCCTATGACTTCTCTTGCAAAGCGTTGGGGCCGCCAAGCTATCATGGATATAGTGACGATCCTCTCCATTGAGGCACAGATAATTTTGGTAGCTTCACATATCTGACATCGCCTTTGCTGTTCAAAATTCGTAATTACTTGAAGTGACGAGCTTTGATTCCAAGCCATTATAAAAAATAACTCCATGCGAGAAATGCCCATCTGTAGACCTCGATAAGGTTTTGATATGTACTAACATCCACCAAAACTTGGGCATCCAATTAATTTTCCTGTCTGAGATACTGCATTCATTATTTGAGTATCCCTTCACCAAGGAACATCCTAATATACTGCTTCACTGCAGTATCTCTTATAGTACTCTCTACCTCATTCTTCCCCCCCCCCCCCCTCCCCACCCTACTCTAAGCGCCAACTCCTCGGCATTTGCGAAGGTATAGCAACATATAGCCGCTTATGTATATGTTATCATTTCGATGGCCGGGACGCTACCTTCGTTTCCCTATAGATGGTGCATCGTCAAAGGGCTGTACACCAATCCTTGTACAAATCTTTGCATAATTGCTTAGTTGACCAAGAGAAAAATTCATGTTAAAAATGAGTTTTATGTTTATGTTCCTCTTTTACTCGTTAAAACTACATATAGATCAAATAATTCATTTCTTGTTCCAGGCATAATTAGAGAAATACACATCATTTGCGTCACTGACTTTCGAGGACATTTTGGCAAGGACTTTACTCCGTGATAACTGATAGTTTCGCAAGATATACCACAACAATATGGGCGAGCAGGCAGTGTAGATGGGAACAACCTGTATAGGAACATAGCGAAAGTATTATAGATAATGTTGTGCTGAAAGGGTAACTTACATAAACCATAGAAATATACGCCCTAAATGAATTAGCACTGAGGAGAGTGCGAATCATTGGCGCGGTTGCAAACGCAGTTAGGAACATATTGTATACTATGAAATGAAAAATAACTAGTGGTATTAGTAATCGTAGTACCAGTAAATTTTCTCGAGCTTGATACTTCATGCGAATGTAGTAAACATTGCTTTAACTCAAATGGTAAGTCGCCAAGCTTGAAATTTCCAAAAACTTACCTTTGCTTCGAATTTGCGTAGTATACACAAAAAAAGCATATGATAGTAAACGCTTCTAGTACTACCGTAATGATACTACTCAGAGAAACTTTAAAAAGTGTTTCTGGAGTCACTGCTGTACAGTACATCTGCTTCGGAACAAAGTTGTAATCGCTCATAGCAAAAATGATCACTCCAAAGGAACAGGCTATCTAAAACTTTACTAGAGAAACTATCGTGTTGTAGGACAACGTTACCGATAGAACAGCCATCGTTATCCCAGCTGAAGAGGTGCGAGACTCATAAGTGTCGAGGTTTTTGAGAGCCATTGCTCTCTCAATCACTATAGAAATATGTACAGCTGTGTGTGCAAGAAGACACGTAGTTGCTGGCATTCTCAACGAGTAACAGAAAGCAGCGGGGACCAACACATCACAAGGTTTGATCGCCGTATAGATTTTGTATAAATGAAATCCCTACAAATCGGGATAAATTATTCTGTTAAACTTCGAGAGTTCTTATTTTACCTGTAGTGGCCCTAGGAAGACAGAATGCCCGATATTGACGGTGATTATTGTCCATAGTAATATCTGGAATGCACGGACGTAATGTAACAAAATTGCTTGTAACGAATCCTCTTCTTTTCTACTATTTATAGTGACTTATCGATTATCTTCCATGTTCACGTAATCATTCCCATGCCAGCCTTTTATTAAGTTTGCAAGTACGTTCTGTAACTTTCTCCAAAACTTCTCTGTTTTCGAAAAGGAAACTCAAATTTTGGCATTGTTCAGATCAAAAAGTGTGCTACAAATCCGACTATTCGATTTTTGATGAAATAGGAAAATTTCGCGCATTTTCCTACCAGCGGCAAACTGAGGTTCGCGGTTTTCGGCAAAAATGAGACGGACACAAAACAAATTGTAATGAAGCCGGAAGTGTAAGCAAAATGTTGTCGGAGGCGGACTACTAACAAGGGAATGGTCAGAAATCGAAGTGGTCAATTCAAGCAAGCTGCATACCATTAGAAGCAGCATAAAACATTGGCTCTAAATCTGCCTTACTTATCTGCAGAACACTTTTAAAAGCAGTTGTTTTGCTAAAAAAACGTGCGGGTAAAGGGCAAACTTCGCCGTATAGAGGCATTCTCGGCTCAGTGCTAGACCAAAACGTGCAGCTAGGTCATTTCATACGAACCGTGCCTAGAGGTGAGCCAAAAGGGCAATAATGTGCCTAATTTCGCAATTTTTGTGCACGGTTTTCTCGCAGTAAAGCTGCTCATAACTTTGCCAGCAAAGGCGTTCTGTAGATATGGAAGACGGATTTGAAATCAGCGTCCTATGTTGCGCCGAATAGCATGCGGCTTGTTTGGATTGGCCACTTCGACCTTTGGCCATTCCCTTGTAGGCTTGGCGAAAAAATAATCACAGGTTGAAGACAACTTGAAATCTGGCGCTTTTGAGAAGCCGAACTAGTTGAATGCCCGTCTTGAAAATCCATCAATGCCAAAGAGTTGGAAATGTCAGGTTTTAACGAAACTTTGCATAATAGGGATGATGTGCTAAACATTACCACATTTAATTGTTTTCAATCAAGGTAGAAAATTATCTCATTGGTTTTTCGTAACTCAAGTTTTTCGGAACAGTATATGCCTACCGCATGAATGTCGTTTTCGTGACCAGCATGCCGTGTAATCCCCCCCCCCTCTAAGCTACTAGATTTCAGGCGAATGCGTAACGATTCGTTTTTCTTTCCTCTTCAAAAATTGCTCAGCCGTAATCCTCAGTGCCACGATAGAATTCCTCAGTATGGTCCAAGTCGTAGCTTACATGATAATCATTATGATACCAGAGAGCGAATGCGCCACATTCAAAAAGACAGAAATCTTATGAAATAGTCGCATTACTTATGTACCAAACTAATATATTAACAAAATGCTATAACGTTTTTGGAACTACAAAATCAACACAAACGTTATGGTATTGTCGCCAGAGGATCAAAAACTGTTCACAATATGCAATTGGCTCCCAACCAGCCTATGATGTGTTTTCCAAGAAATAACAGGTTTCATGCAAATTTTCAGTGTATTAGCAGTACAATACTTACTCGACAATTGATGTGAAAGAACAGGTTCTTTCTCCAACGTCTGATAAATATTAGGTTTATAGCAATACTAGCCACGCAGAAGAATAACTGACCAAAGAGAGCGACACGTTGTGGAACGTATGTTATGAAATCTGCAGCTTCAGGGCATTCATCGTCGCTCATCCTAGTGATTTCTGCAATTGATTTGTCCTCCATTCCAGTCGCGACGCGATTTGGCAGTTCGCCAAAAGTCTTCAGATCCAACACTAGCAAACTGCACATGCATATTGTGTATAACTTACGTGGGTTGATAAAATGCTCCATCTTCTGTACATTTGCAATGCGCTTACAGTGAGTTATAGATAGTTGGAATAATGCCAAATCGCGTTGCGACTGAGATCGCATGAAGTATGCCCGGCCCTTTAGGCCTGGCATTTCACGCAATTTCAGTCGCCACGCAATTTGGCATTTCGCCACGTATCTTCAAGCTATCGCTGGCAAACCTTAGGAGCATACACAACTTTTGTAAGTTGTTGGAATGTCTCATCTATATATTTAAAGCGCGCTCAAGATGAGTCGCAAACATTTCAGTGTATTGGCACATTGCGTGGCGAGCGAAATCGCCGAAGTGTGCCTGGTTTATTAGACAGGAATTCGGGTAAACTGGAAAACAAGCACCATGGTTGATGCCAGCTGCTGTCATGCAGTTAGGGGAAATGAAAAGTAATGAGTATCGCAACTTTGTCTTTTATATCTATTATGGATAGATTTTGCTTTTTGGCCTTTAAGCACCTAGCTTTGCATGCATGCTTTTAATCAATAGAGCTATGGTTTTTTCTCCTCTAATTATACGGTGCTTTTCTCGCGGAAAGGTTATGTGTTGACTAATGACTTGCAATGAAGGGACGGCGCAGAGTTCTAGAATCTTTCACTATTTCCGCTATCTCGTACGAAGATAATAAACTTCTTTCTTGCACCCATTACAATCCTCAACTAAATAAAACACAAACATCGTATTTGAGTCTATTATGTATATATTTTGCTTTTTGGGCTATAAGCACCTAGCTTTGCATGCTACTTTTTGATCAATGGAGCTAGGGTTTCTTTTCGTTGACTGGAGCGCTTTTAGTGGTTAACAAATCCCTGCATCATGGAAATTTGGACTTATCAGCCACATCCATTCCGGTCTTACTTGGCGCGGCAGATGGACTGGAGCAAAAATTCTGATTTTACAAGCAAATTCCCTAGTTGTTGCTTACCTCCAGTCTCTCTTTCTCGTGACAACCACCTTACAATAGAAGAAATGTGATTTCTTTTGATATACTGTGCATGAAATTCTAGAAAGGCTTGGTGATTTATTATAAGGTTTTTTCCTGCGATGTTCCAGAAAAATCAAAGAATTTGGAAACTGCTTGAACCGGCCTAGATGTAGTCTGGAAACTTCAGCGACGTTGACATGGAGTGGTAGTAATTTTGTTTGAAACCACCATCTAATCGGCTCGGCACAGGTGGCTTATAAGCAAACTGGATATCGTTTTTGGGACAAACAGCAAAGGGGATATCTTTTTTGTGGCTGAAAAAACACAAGTTAGGTCTACGTTTTTTTAGTCCACGTTTCGTTTTTTAGGGTTTTTTCCTATAGGGTTCAGAAACAAGGGGACTTCGTAAAATCTTGCGGAAGCCAAGTGGACTTTGTTTTTTTTGCATTTTCGGAAAGCTATCTCGTGCCGAGGCCTGCATACAATGTGATGGTTCAACCATGGTTACATAGTGTTAACCATACTTGATTACTGTTTAGACAAGATCATGGTAAAATGCGAGGCTATAAGGACCGCAAATTATGTGAAGTGCAATGAAGGCGGTTAAGCATGAGCAGATTGGAGGTTCGATCTTCTCCATGACATCGCTTTGCTAAATCTAGATTTGGCCAACTCCATTGTTTTCGAACGGTTACTTCGTGATTTCATTGAGAAGATGTGAAGCTACTGGCTGTATCTTGTTCCGAAAATTCAGTTAAGATGATGGTTTTGACCAAACCGCTATCACTCTATGAAGTTTCAGCTGACAATCTAGCGTAAGCATTCTATGAGTAACATACATACACATTACACACAAGTCTTTTGCTATAAATTAGGTATGAAGAAAAAGATGGTCGCTTTTTCCGGTTTTTTTTTCAGCTAAAATTAGCATTTCTCAAAAATAGAGTACATAGAAGGCCGAAATCATTGTTGAAGTCTCGAAGGTTTGTAGACAAGACCGCATATATGGGAGGAGTCCGGACTACTAAGGGCGGAGTTTGCCATTTTTTGTTTTTCAACTTTTTCTTGAATTTCAATCGCGGAAAAAATATAACAAATGCATAGATGTATAGGTGCATGTATCTGCCACATGTTGTAGCAAGTGCGAGGTTCTTTTTGGAGCAAAAAAATACGATTTTCGGCACTATGAGCTGCTCTTAAGTTTCGGCTTCGAACTTGGCGTAAACCAGGATCCAAGCCGATGTTTAGAGGCCATCTTGTAGAGCTTGCTTTGCTCTATCGAAAGACACCACTCAATATTTTTTCAGATTCGTCCTGTTGCTCTGTAAAAAAAATGACATTCTTTCCTTTCCAACCTAATATTAGGTTGGTTGTCCCAAAGGTTTTGTCGATTTCTTCCATCGCTCACTAAAACTCACAGAATACCAAGCATAAACGTTCTAGCTACCATTTGATCCAGAATTTCATCTTCTTTCCTTTCCTATATTTGCTCTCTGACCTACCCTGTCTTTGCGATTCTACAGCCATGGCTTTTTGAGCAGCTCAGCAGTATCGCCAGACTTCCTGAATTTTGAAAATTTTTACACTGATATCTCTGAAGAGCGCTGATAACTGTTATGTAGAGCAGACCTTTGGCTGCACAGAACGTATTTTAGATTACATGAAACACTTTTATTAAGTTCGTAATATTTATTTATTTGAGAAAAACAGCTGCTTTTTGATTACGTCTAACACGTAAATGTACCGAAACTCAAAAAGCTGATTTTTCCAAGCAAATCAAATTTGATTAGGTTGCGTAAATATAAATATTATTCAATAACAAACAAGTTTCACATCGCAAAACTCAAAAAGTTTTCATGTTTTTGCTGCGGTTGCGTGTTTCATGGACTTTGCCCAAAATCGATACCTTCGAAGAAATAAGTTTTTAGAGCTAGAAACAGCAGATTAGGAGAATCTAAAAATAATGCCACATAGCCGGAGGGTTA